TGACTCGCAATTTTCATTTATAACACCTACCTTTTAGATACTATGATTAGTTTTACAGTTGGAAGAAGATGTGTAAAAATTTGGAAAATACTCAAATCCCTTAAAGACTACTTACATGTAAAAAAGAGATGGGAAGCATTACTTGACATGGACATAATAATAAAGACAGTTATCAAGGGATTGTGATGACTTAGCATTTCTATTTTACACCAATTCTCAAACACAATAAAACTGAATTTCATAATTTATTCAGAAGAGCACAGATCTGATTGTGTCTATTCTTACCGCAGTGCCTTTCTATGACAAAATATTGTGCCTATTTGAGCTGTGCTATATGATTCATTTATTGTGCTTGTAAAACAATCAGTTGGAAAAAAGACTAAATTGTTCAGAAAACACACTTAAAACACAAGGCTATTTACTTGTCTAACCTAAGTTTGACAAGTTTGGCTTATAAAGCAATTTTTCACATTTAGTTCTGCTTGTATTTAGATGGTCTTGTAACATCAGTAAGAGCGGCAAGCTCATATTGACCATGTATGTTAAGTGTAGGTCTTGAAAAACAGCACATATTCTTTCTATTTACTGCTGACCTGCAGGTACAGCCAGACAACACGAAGCCTCTGAAACAGCTCTGAGCAGAAGGTGACTGCCCCTCCCCTCAAGAGACGTATCTTCCCAATAATGCAAAGTGAGACAACTGGAACAGTAACACATGAAGGTGCTGTGAACAGTTGTTTAAGCTTATTCATTGTAATTTGTTTCTGCCCCAATTAGCATCACTAGGCACATACACTGGATCAGAGTGGTCACATTTTAGAGGCAAGAATCACCCAAAACTGTCCAGTCAAAGCATGGTAACGTACAGATTCTTAGCATTTTATCTAAATTGTTAATCATAGTCTGCAGCATCAGCATTGCCATCTAAAATAACCTGGCAAACTGCAAGCCAATCATAAGATTCTAAAGGTGGTGGGAAGGGATTAAAAATCTTTCAATGGTTAATTTTTCTTCCTGAGGATTCTTCTGGGTCCACTACTTCCACTACAGCGACCAATTCCTATTTCCTTCATGTGGGTGTCAGGGCACCCCAGACACAGTTTCTTTCAGACTTCAGGGAAAGCATGCTGCCAATAGTGGTAACTTTCCATCATTTAAGTATTTTCATCAAATGCCAAGGATCTTTCATACACCCTTGAAAAATCCCTTTGAAATCTAATTTCTCACCTAACACAGCTCAAATTTTTGGCATGAATTATCTATAGGGGTTCTAAAAGAGCATCTAAGATCTGTATCTGCTACCTCTAGTTCTTTAATTCTGTATATTCAGACAATGGTTTGTCAGTCAAGATGGGTCCCACACTCTACTGAATTATCTTGTCAGTTTTTGAGGTAGAAAAACGACAGAGCTGAGATAGAATTGAGGCAGTGAACTGAGGCACACACTCAGTGACTTGACTGCCCCTTACCACTTTGTTGTCTTTCAGGTTTTTGATTTCTACTGTTTAGCTCCACATCTCAGCTGATATACAATTAAAATTATGTTGCTTGCTGTCAGGTATCTCACTGAAATCTCTGCTTGCCTTGTGGCACATTAATTTCTCACTCTAAAATTCCCACTGTGCCTGTCACGGGTTCAGGGAACAGCTGAGGGCTAGCAAAGTAAGCTACAGTCATTGGCTTTCAATCCAATCAAGTTTTTATCTCCTTACCTCCTGAAGAAAGGGAAGGGAACTCATAATGTTCTTCTGTCCTTGGTAAGGGTCCAAATATCTCATACCATCCTCCACAAAATTCACACTAGCCATGTGTCCTGTCCAGCTTTGTCAGCTTCTATTTGCCCTTCACTTTCTTCTTGCACCAAGACTGTCTACCTGGCTGAGCTGGTGTCTAGTGTGTCTAGTTCTGCACTGCTAATCTGCTTTGCCAAACTATTTAGAGTGAACATTTTCTCCTGTTTTGCAATGAAAAACCTCTAATCACTGCTGCTTAGTATGGCTACTTTGAATAAATGACTAATGAATTGAAACAGACGTGACTTTTAAAAAAGACCAAACTGTCATTTCTGGCAGGAAATAGGATGGCAACAGAAATATCTCAGGTATCAAATGCAACTCAGCAAATCCTTGTAACTACTGTTGATAATTCCAAGTATTGTTTTCCTTTTACTCTGGTATTCTGAACAGTAACTTTCAGCTTGGTCTTTAAGATACCACATCTAGAAAGGAGCTTTGTTGTGACATTCTGCCTGCTGCACTCTGGCAGCAATGGGACAACTCATGTGCTTCCCCAGCCCAATGTACTTCTATCAGGACAGAGCACCCTGCGACTGTGATCTCCACAGAGATCTCCAGTGTCTTCACCTGCAGACTGTGAGCAGAACTCCCCGAGATCTGTCATAACTTAAGTAATTCTCTGTGTGGTTTTGTAGCTGAAGCTTCTTCTCTTGCCTGAAGCAACTCTTTTTCACACCTGCTAGTTTGCCCTCCCTCACTGAATATATGCCTATCTTCTCCACTACGTGTGAGGTCTTTGAAGTTGGTAACTTTAAAAAAAAAATTGTTTTACTAATCAAGCCATTATTTTTGACAGCATTAAACATTTTTTTAATACAAATGCATTCTGACAGCATTAAACATTTTTTTAATACAAATGCATTCAAACACCTTAGGGTGCAGGCAGTTCCTCTTGTATGAGCTATGAGCAGCAATGATATTTTAAAAACCCAGAACCGCAGCCTAATCTTGTTCCGTAGCCAGGATTTTTTAAATAAGGTGATTATAATTACATGCAGTCCCCTTTTCTATATGCCTGTTATGTGGAGTCTGAACAATGACTATTTTAAGAACTGAATTCTCAATACATACACATACAGGTTTAGAAAACCATGCCTATGACTTCTGCAACTAGATACTCATATGAATCACTTTTTTTTCCCTATTCACCTTCAGAAAGTGAAATTCAACTTCCAAAATCCCAATGTGAGCTATAAAATGAGCATTATTCAGCGAAAGATTAACAGCCACGTTTGATGATTTAGGGTGCTTATGTATTCTCAAGAACATAGGAAATCACACGTATTTATTACATACCTTATAAAAGGTCGTGTTACAGCCAGAATTGTCCTGATAAACCATGATGGATGAACAATTATAAATGACTTCAAATTCTTCCGTAATCTAAATAACAAAAGCAATAGTTAGAAAAGCAAAAAACCCCACAAAAGATAAAGAAACATCAAACACAGTAAGCCCTGCCATACAGGAGAGTTACAGAAACGGACACCCTTTAAAATACTGGCTGTGGATCAGACAGCAAAACACCACTTACCGTCGATCAATCATCTGGTAGCATTTTTTCATCCAACCCAATCCAGGCATCCTTCTTCTTGGTGTTGCTCCATTCAAGTAGACAATCATATAGTCTTCAGCTACCATCAGCTCTAAGGTACTGATTACATATCTGATAAAAGTACAGATGTCAGTGAGCATATACTGTACACTATCTGATTGAGCCCAAACTAAATGAGGCTATTAGGAATAAATGAAGGCAGATTGAACACTTTATGACAATCTTTTAAACAAAAGCAAACATTCAGCACTGATCACAATGGTACCTGTACATACACAGCTAGAAAACCACAGTCTTACCTGAGTCTTCAAAAATATGTGGCTTCCTTACAATAACAGAGTTTTGTAGTGAGTTTTCAAGTATCACTGGTGAATTTGTTTTTTCTTAAAAAGTAATTAAATCAGGAAATTTTGCAAGGGAGAACATGGCATCATGTGAAGTCCTAGGAACTTCTGAAATTAACTCTTGAGAAACTTCTATTCACTATTTAATCACCAAGTTTGCTCAATACAATAATAAAAGGTGTCAGAAGATACTTGTTTATACTTCGTGTGATCCTTACACTCCTGCTATCAGTCTGTGATAAGTACAAATACTTTGACAGTCAAGCCCAAGAAAACCTGACATCTGATGGAACAGAGCACTCCAGGACATCACTTCATTTTGCCTGCAAAACACTCCCGACACCCATTATCAGACAGTGCTCTTGGGGCCAAATGCATTCTACTTAGAAGAGCACACTACTCATTCAAATAAGAAGATGGTTTTAAATTCTTGTTTGGGACTATCTATGCAGATGATCTACTCAGAAGTCCCTACCTCATTAGGGAGCTGATCATCACAGGAATGTTCAAATTGTTCTCTCTACTATCCAGCCTCAAGGCATGCCAATGTAAAAACTAGAATGCAAAACCACAAGTCACACCTTAAAACCCTGAATGCCTGAGTGCACTCACTACAAAAGGCAGCTCTATCCCTAAGCATAATGGCCCCTTTCAGAGTTGTATGGGAATGCCTCACAATCTAATCTGACCCTTAAATTCCTGAGGATGCAATATCTTTAGAAGAATTGTAGGAAATCTAGTTCTCACCAGAGAGTGGTACTTTACCTTGGGCATAAAGTAGGCAGCATTAACTAGACCAGTTCCATGCATTTGGTAAATCCCATCTAAATCACTACCCCCTCAATGCTCATTCTTGTGTTGTCAATGCTCCTTGCAGTTGTGCATTCCCTGCTTTTGCCTCACATTTGTGAAGGCTTATGTTTAACAGTGATATAAGAAAGCAAGGGATTGCATGGACATTCTGATGCATAAAGCTTCATTTCATAGCTACTTCAGCGAAACTACTATTTGACAGGTTGTAAGATTAGCCCTTCCCACAGGGCAGAACATCTAATGCTTTAAAGGCACTTAACACTGAAACATAAAAGTTTGTAAGGACAGGTGTGTAAGTACATATTAAAATACTATAAGAGTTTCAGGAATGGAACACGACAGTCTAAAACGGGCAAGTTATTGACAAAAATGTCAAATTATACTTCTCTAATAATTTATTATTTTATAATAATGGCAATTTCTTCATCATTTGGAAAGATGGACAGAAATTTTCTCATTGACTAGAACAACGGAATCACGCAGAAACAAAGTGCAGGTTTTGTTTTCAAAGTGTAGTTTTTCAAATTGAGATTATTTTTAAAAATTTTAATCTCTGGACTGGCTTTACTCTGACTTCCAGGCAGCCACAAATTAAACAGTAGATTTTTTTAATGTGGTTCTGCATTAGCTACAAAAACTGCTGTAGAAGCTTTTCCAAGCATTTTCACACAAATTCAGCCCTTCAAAGACAATTTTACATAATTAGTCAATATAAAAAAATAGGAAGAAGATAATTGGAAATGTGAAAGGAATTCAGATGGGAAAGGAGCTACTGAGGACAATTGTTAATCAGAAGCTAGAGGTAGTTTATATGCTACCAGAAACATCCTGTGTAAAAAAAGAGATTCAGTGGTTTGCAGGTCTCTCCAGATTTCTATGTAATTCAATAGTAAAGAATTACCAAATATTTAAAAATATCAGTTACTGTATTTAGCAAACTGTTGCACTCCCTCTATTTCCATGCAGACCTAGAATGGAAACAAAGAGTTGAACTCCTTTTTCTTGTAGAGAGCCAACCGTCTACAAGCCTTAAAATAAGCTGCAAGTTCACAGCCAACATGAGAGTTCATTTATATTATTACTCCAGAAAAAGGGACTTACAAAATTGACTTCAGCAATATCCTTAAGCCATGTGGCTCTTAAGGCTTTCTCTGCAAAGTTAATTTATCACCAGCTCTATCTGAACAATGGTCTTGGGTGAAGACAAAGAACAACTATTGAATGTCAGTCATGGTTACAGTCAGCTTTGTTCCTTACTTATCATGTTAAAACCACTGAAGTAATTCCTTCCTCTCTTCTAAATCACTGGGCATTGTGTGTATCAGTTACTGTAGATGACACTGAGTTCTTAGAGGCTCTACCAGGCAAACGATACCACCTGTTCTGACCAGAAACTAAAACACTGAGTCTTGATTTTCACACATAGAGATAATGTTAAAGGCACTGGCTGCCAACAAGTGCATCTTCACAGGCTGGAATATTAAGGAGACCTGGGTCTGTGCTCTCAGTGCCTTGTAAGCTGCAAATGGCAAAGGCCGGGTCTCCTGCTGGCTTTAGAAAAATACTGCATTTTACCACAGAAAACATTGGAATGACTGATTTTTTTAACAGCTGTAAGTGAAAGTAGCTGAAGGCACTTCAGAAGAGCGTTGCCTTCAAAATTTTGGGCTGCCAAACCAATTGCTATTAGGAATAACTTCCCTGTATTAGATTTGGGGTTATGTGGCCAAATTTGTGTCCTGCCCAACTGGTCCCTGCCACTTCTAGCTGAATTAGAAGCAGCTGGAGTCAGGAAGCATAGTTAGAGATGCTGGTGTCAGCAATTGCCATTTATCCTGCTTTTAAAAAGCAAGTGTCAAAAAAAGGCCCAGTAACTCCTAAACCAAAGACAGCATATATTAAAAATATGTCCAGGGATACGTCCTAATAATAAACAATGAACAGTAAAAAACAGTCTAAGCCCCTGCTGACTGCTCTCAGCAAGACCTGGAAATGATTAGTCAAACAGTGTAAAGACTGTAGCCCCAGCAAGGTGAAGATATCGCACTCCTTGGCTTTTAGAGAGATACTGACAGTCAGATTTAGTCCTGACAAATACACCTTAATTTGGGAAGGTGAGTAGGTAAAGGATACCAAAATAATACTCTGAGCAGTTTATCTAAAACTGCTATTTTCCTTGTCACTCCCCTTCTAATGGCCAAAATTACCTCTTAAGGAAAGACAGGTTACCTCTCACTGCATAATTCTGAGTACTAACTCAAAAGACTTTGCCACATTGCTCACATATCACTCACAGGAAAAGATTTTCCATGACATAGTTGTAATCAGTTCGACTGCTGTCTGGCAAGAAGCATGCTGCGAACACAATGATAGCATTCAGACCATCACCATAGTATCCTGTGGAAAAAAAAATGAAAATGCATTTTTATCTTTGTCAAAGGCTTTTAACAGGATAATTTTTTTTTAATCCTCTAATAAAGCTACTATGTCTACTGCTGAAGCATCATTTTGGTATGAATGCTTCATACTAAAGGCCTGAAAATATATGAACTATCATAAAATGATAAAGAAGTTGGATAGTCAGCTAAGGTGAATCCTCAAAAACCACATATAAACTACTAGTAAAGTTTTTACAGTGACCAGCAAAAAAGCTTTTTAAGGCTTCTACTTCTGGTTCATTGCAGCTCTATGGCAATCACGTACTGAATGCTCACCTCAGAGTGAGGAATAAGGAGCTGAAGAAAATATCCTACACTTGTTGTCCTGCATCATTTGAATTATGTTCAGCAAAGTCTGAACATAATCCAATCCAATGCTGGCCTGTGCAGCTCCAATGGCTTTAGACCATTACAATTATGACTGCACTCCACTATTCCTTAAAAGCTCCTGGGGAGCAGTTAAATCCTTTGCTGCAAGTTTTGTTTACATTACTTTTTAACCTTCAATGCTCCAATTGTCCCATACTGGCATTCTCTGGGCTGCATCACTGCCTAATGATAGCTGTTAATCTTCAAAGCTGTAGCACTACCATTCCAGGGCGCAGCACAGTTGCTTATTATCCAAAAAAGTATGTTTCCTTTTCATGATAGATTAATATTGGTTAATCTTCTCCACAACCCTTTGCAGCTGCCATGGATTTTCTGTACTTTCTATATTATTATCATAAATAATAAATAATACTCCTGCATTTCAGTTGAAAGTTTTGCTTAAAGGATACATGCAATAAGGAGGGAATTTATAAAGATGCCGTAGGAATGTCTGTAGGTAGATAGCACTAGTGATGCAGAGACAGAAGACAGATATACTCAGAGAACACTCAAAAACCTTTTGAGTCTAGAAAAAACAGACAATAAGGGAGAGATGATAATATTTTTGAAGGCAACTTCAATTCCCCTCAGGAATATGTTTTCATGACAAAAATTAAAGGCTAATACTAACACTTAAACAATCTTTGCTAAAAGAGATTCTAAGACTTTTACAGTGCTTTCTGGATACTAGAGAGCAATATCCAAACCTAACTAAAGTGCTTATGGAACTCAAGTCTAGTTTTCAGCACACATTATTATTCAGCTAGATCATTTGGAATTGTGCTGGTTTTGGCTGGCAGAAAGTTAGTTTTCTTCACAGTGGCAAGTATGGGGATGTAGTTTTGATTAGCACTGAAATCAGGTGGCTGATAATATAGAGATGTTTTTGTTATTGCTCTGCAGTGTTCACAAAGCATCAAGACTTTTTCTGCCTTTCATTCTGCCCCCCACCACTCCGACAGCAGGCTGAGGATCCACAAGAACTTGGAAGGGGAAGGGGATACTGCCAAGACAGCTGACTCCAACTGACTACAGGGATATTCCAGACCATATGGCATCATGCTCAGCAGAGGAAGAAGGAGGAAGTAGGAGGGGACATTTGGAGTGATGGCCTTTAACTTCTCAAGTGTTTTGTGTGATGAGGACCTGCTCTCCTGGAGATGGCTGAATACCTTCCTGTCTTTGGGAAGAAGTGAATGAATTTCTGGTTTTGCTTTGCTTGTGAGCATAGGTTTTGCTTTATGTATTAAATTGTCCTTATCTCAACCCAGACTTTACTCGTTCTTACTCTTCTGATTCACCATGTGGGAGTGAGTGACTGACTGCGTGGGGCTTGGCTGCCAGCTGGGTTTCAACAACAACAAGAAAAAGTATTTCTCTCCCCCTCCGGTTTACAAATAGGGAAATAGGGAGGACAATTCTTTCCTTCCATAAATTTAATAACATTTAAAAAGACTTTATACTAAAGCAATCTGTCCAGCTGGCAGGCACAGGAATTTGGCAGTAAGAGCACATTATGGCAGGTGCATCCACTAAATTACACAGCACAGTTTGCAGTTCATGGAAAGCAAAACAATTATGTGCAGATGCTAACTAGCAACACACAGAAGAAAAATCCACAGATAAATCTAAGCCACTTTTTCTCACACATGCTTGAAGAGAAGGAATGTTCACCCTAGGGACAAGTGTATTTTAATCCATCACTAAAAGCCAGTAAAAGCCGTTTGCCCAAAATCTCAGTTAGCCTAAGCAAAGCAAAAGATCTCTAAAGAATTTCTCCATTAGCATATATTGAAGACAGTCTCAAACCTAGGCTGCCAAAGCTACTCTCCCCTTTCCTATTTTGTAGCTACCACCTAGATTCTGTGTTTGCTATTATCTGTCATTTGGTAGGGAGGAATGTTCAGTAGATCTTTGAATCATCAATAAATGCTTGACTTGACTTCCTATTGACTAATTTTAGTCAGAAACTCTCATTATTCTTGAGATTAAAGAAAAGACTCCTGGCCCTCTAAACACTCCACTGAAGTACTGCCAAAGGGCCTTGCTGCCCCTTTCCGTATGAAACTGTTCGAGTTGTCCGAAGTTTTCCACGTTAGATGCAACAATGTGATTTTGTTTCCTTGACTTCAATCTGCCACTTTATTAATGCAGAATTTAATCCAGTCCTTAACTTACTTTGATTTGCCTAGATATCAGGAAAAAATTGCAGTTTAGCCAGCAGCAGGCTGAAACTTGTTGTTAAATCTTACACTTTTTGTTTTACAACAACTTAATGCTATTGACTAATAGCAAAACAACCTTTCAAAAGTAAAAAAAACCTAAATGCTCCTTATCTTACATTTGAGTGATCTAACAAAACGTCAGATACGTAAAATTTGAACTAGTATTATTTCATATTGAGAGGTCAGCTGAATTACATAGTCTCCCATTAAACACCGATTTTTCACAAAAGCTGATATAAACATAAACTTCAACATCTAGTAGGAAATATACACGGTTTTCCTGCAAATGCCTATTGACTAATCTACAGCACACAAAAATATATAAATAAACAACATTAGCAAGGCCCAAAAATATTTTGTGTTTGTTTCCTAAATTAAGTCATCTGGGTATGTTTGTTAAATTGAGTCTGAGGTGTCATCACATTGATAAAACTTTGATGGTAATGTTGTAGTAGAAAAATACTTGTTTGGAGGCCTAAACATCTTTATTAATTCTGGTTAAACCTTCAGTACACTGGCCACCATGAATACCTGTAGGCTAGCATTTAGCTGCTTTTAATGTAAAAATTAACCATCATTCATTTATGTAATTTTACCAGACAGAGGCTCAACACTGAAAACATTTTAACTTCAATATTTTAGTATCTTTAACTGATGCTGCAGATCAACAACACTGTGACAAAAGCATCCTCATATAAACTCATAAATCTTACCTCTGAGATGCTACGCTGCCTGTCTCAGTTTTTGCAAGAATTGAACACCTCATCTTAACCTAATACCTTGCTTAACAGATAGCAAAGAGTGTCCCCCAAAATTACAGAATCCAAAGATAATCCAAAGCTGAAACCAAGGAAAAGGCACTTAGAGCAATACTTACCCATTTGAATTAATTGATACATAAGTGTATTAGTAACACTGAAACTATAAATTCTCTGAGGAAGCTGGGTAGCAGATAAGAAAATGAAAAAATATAGCAAGCACATGGGGCCATTTTCCTACTTTAAATGTTGTCTTTGATATGTTATTTAATAGTTATTAACAAATTATGTATGAAGTCCCATAAACCAGTTCCTGGTGAAATGCTGCTGACAACTATAAATGGCAGAAAAATAGTATAAGGTGAGTAGCCATATGAATGGAAGCCCCAGGGAAAAGGATATTTTATCTTTTGCCACTCTACTTGTTTAGATCTGTGCAATCACATACATCATTCAGCAAATCACAGAGCATTATACTTCCTCACACAAAAGGTTTTGTCAAAACTCACCAAATAAAGTTTTCAAAATTTTATTTTGCTGTAGGTCAAAAGCTTTTTTCCTTGTCCCAGACAGTTTTACCCTGCAATGACCAGATTGTTCCTGACACATATGTGCCAGTATGCTGCTTCCAAAATAGCTTTAAATTTAAAATTCTTATTAGTCATTGCCACATTGAATTTAAAGCCTGGATGGTTTCAACCAAAGCTGAAAAATAAATTTTCTCTCCCCTTGTCAATAGGATAATGGAACAAAAATAAAAATAAATCATGATCAATAAAGCGTGAATTTTTTACATCAATTTAAAAAATGCTTACAGCTGCTCTTACCTCCATGTGAAATGACCTTTTTGTATGGTTCAATGACTTTCATATCAATTCTCTGTTCTTGTTCTCCAATAACCACTGTTCTCCATAACCTGTTGTCCTCTCGCTCCTCTTCAGCAGAATACTCAGGGATTGATTCAGACTCCTCCTGGGAAGCATCCTTAGCAGCAGTCTGCTCTTCTGAAAAGAAGAACTGTATATATTACCTCTTCCTGTTAAACCTCTAAATATTTTTGCTGCTACATACATTTGAGATGGATGACTGAAATTAACTGCATTTTTACAGTACTGGTATAAATTAGAGCAGAATGACCTATATTTGAAGTAAACTGTTCTTTCTAAAACATTATTCCGTCTCTGCAGTCATAAGAACAGAATTTGAATTGCAAGTCAGTAAGTGAAATAACAGTAAACAAAGATAGAGTGAGATACATAATGACATACACAAGAGTACACAAAAAGCTGCAGGTATTCTATTTGAAAATACTAACAAGATCTATGAGAATTAAGAATAAACTCAAAGGAGCAATTTTAATTGACAATAACTAAAGAACACAATGTTCCATAGCTGCCGTCAAACCTTTCTATGTGTTGGGTTACTACAGATGTGCCTCTCTGATTAAGGCTTCTTCTTGAACCACTCATATAAATCAAAGTATATTGCTCCTCAAAACACACTAGTTTATCATAAGAATTAAAAAAGTTACCTATGAAATCAGGAATATGAGAGTATACTGTATGTATACCACATATATTTACATAGAAGCTACAGGCACATATGCATACATGTACTAAACTATTACTTTGTAAAACTGAATTCTCCTATAAATCCTACCAATAATTTCACCAGATCTGTTACAAACACCAAGTTTCTCTAAGTCCACCAAAAAAGCTTCTAAAAAAGATAGGTTGAGCACATATTTATTGCAACAATAGGACTAACAAAGTCTGAATTTCTACCGCTGCCTGTCTTGTATTTTCTGTCCCTAATACAAAATATTATTACAGAATTATACTGGCAGAAGGTGCCCCTTTCTGAGGTAGATTCTCTTATGTGCAATGAAATCTGAGTCTATAAACAATTCTGTACTTTACCTAGTTCTTGCCCGATGGAATCCTGAAAGAAAGTGAAAGAAAGGAGGAATATTTCACCTCTTTCCTCACTAAATAGCCAATGAGTTAAAAACATACTCAAATGAAATTGTATTAATGGTGGAAACAGGGATGGAAAATCAAGAAATATATACATGTGCAAATATAGTGTGACCATGCAAGCCTTTTTTCCTTAAAAACTCGAAAAGAGTTTGAGGAGATCTAAGGTTGGAAAAAAGGACAGTCTGACAAAAAGTGGGGTTTTTTCAAGTATAGTACTTCAAATTGGTTTAACAGTTGCTGCTCAGCAAATTATATACTGAGGAATTGAAGAATATACTTATGCCTTTCTCAGGGCACAATCCTCATGATATTTAATAACACCATTCAGCTTCGAAATACCACATATTCTGTGGCACTGGGAATAAGCTTACAAAATGCATAACCCCACTACCTCCAAACCCAGGTATCTGAATGCAATTTTTTATGTTGTCAGTTTTGCAAAGGTACTGTTGGTAGAAATATGAAAATTACATGCATACAGTCAAGTTATACAAACTTTGAGAGGCCACTGCAGGGCAGCCCATTCCGGTAAGGGTCTCCAAGGACACTATTTTGCAGCTCAGGTACTTTTAGAATAGACAGATGGGATTATCAACACAGCCTATAAAGTCTGTCTGGTCAGCTGATTCCTTGTCAAGTACAAAGAACATGACTGCGGCAGAAAAGCGTAGCTGGCGGAACAAACTTTAATAAAAAGAGGCTGGGCTACATACATGGCTGACCAATGTTGAAATTGTGTTTGGGGTTTTTTTTTTTTTTTTTTTTTTTTTTTTTTTTTTTGGTTTGGTGAAACTTAAGAAAATAAAAAAATTACTAAACCCTGATAAAATTTACAATGTTGAAATTGGACACATGAATTATTTTTTAATAGAAATGGTACTAGATTGCCTCTTCCTGATGAAGTAGCTCTCCTTTACTGCCTGGACTGTTGATTTTGCAAAGAAAGATGCACCAGTGTGAAATTCAGAAAGGAAATAAATATCTGCAGAAAAAATAATAAATATTCGTACTTTATAAGTATGCTGATTGGAGAAAAGGCCTTCACTGATACTCATATATGGTTTTCAGAAACGGAATTTTTATGTCATCTAAATAAATACTAATAAAAAGCTCATTTTAGAAACTAGCATGGCTTGTAAAGGGAATGTTGAATGTATGGTATTAGTGACTAAAAAGACCCACCCCATGAAACTGATGATCAATCAATCTCTGAACAAGTCAGGTGCTAGTTCAAGACAAGTACTTTAGTATTTCTGCTCTCATCTTTCACGCATATTGCAGTTGTGATAATTGTTCTTCACCATTCATTTGAAAAAAGGAGCCTCAGTATTAACTTATAATACAGAGACATTTTTCAGTGATGAGGTGAACTCCTGAACCATGGTAAGAGTCTTGCTTTTCTCAGTTGTCTTTTGTAGTTCAAAGGGACCTTCAACAGTCTGATCATGACAAAAGTCACTGTTCTTTCTGGTCTCAGCAGCTATGTTTTTCTCAGTATTTACTTTTCTGGGTTTGGCAGCAGTTAGAAGCATTGAACTGTGGGAGATTGCTGGTAACATCATGACGAGTGCATACCAGCTAATAGTAGAGTACAGGAGTACAAAGATAACAAAGGCTATTTACCATGCAAATAAGCCATTCTGCACTGGTTCTTGTAACTATAATCTTAGCTATCAGATTAACATTACATACAGCCAACTTCTTTTATTTTTGGCTTATTTAGTTAAAATGTTGGGGGTTTTTTTTTGGTCTTTTCTATTCTTTTCATGGCTCATCTCAGTGGAAGATATTTTTACTATTAACTATCTGAAATAAAACTACACAACCATATACATGTCACCAAAACCAGAGGGACCCTGAGCTCTTCTGACTTAAGCATTTGGAGAAATTGCTCCTGACTTAAGCATTTGGAGAAATTGGTCTAACTTTAAGAACTGAACGAATCATCATATTTAGAAAGTAGAAAATGGGAGGAAATGCCACCAATACAGCTGCTATGAAAATCACTGGAGCTGAATTTAACTACTTGGGGGTTTAAAGGAAATGTCTGCTCTACTGCAGACAAGAGACATTTTCTCTCACATGGTGGTCACAACAGTGAAACCATGTGAGACTGTGTGTGTGTGTTAGTTTTAACCCTCACTATAAAATCTTCTAACTATCAAGCAACTCATCACCACACTCTGCATCTACCCATAAGGAAATCAGCCTTCTCATGAGAAGTAACGTTAGAGATGCTAATGCATGATTGAGTACACAACAGTGCCTCTCTGGCAATATCACTTAAAATAATGCAACTGTTCTTGTATGCTCCAGAAACCTCACTAGCATTAGGGAAAATAAATGCATGGGAAAATTCAGTTTGAACTGATCAATTTTTAAAGTTTCTTTCTGCTCTTGCCTGTAAAATGTTTACACTTGTTTTCCCCTCAAATAGCTTGTGATCTGTTTGTGTTTACATCAGCAATTACATTACAGTTCTTACATGTTTATGTTTTATAAGGTACTAGCAAGGAACAGGAAACACCCTATTTTGAACACCATGAAACTAAGCAAACTGAGTAAAACTTCTACATCATATTTCTCCACCAAAAAATCATTAATACATGAAGAAAGAATGAAGTTTCCATTGCACACTTCAGGGTGCATCTGTATTGTACAGCTAGCCCTGCTGAGAAAGGACATTAAAATTAGTGGAATAAGGAATTCTGTTCTTCCATCATCATCTGAGCTAGCTTTATTATGCTATCCACATACCTTCCATACGTCAGCTTTTCAACCATGGGAATAAAAAGCAGACCTTTCTTCCTAACAAAAGACCTCTCAGCACGTTATGTCTACCTCACTTATATACTGCAAGACCTTTGGTGCAGCCAACATATTTTCCACAAAGTCATATTCCTAAATATGACCGATGTAACTGTACTCTAGAGCTGGCCAGAGCTGCAAGAAGCTGCAGTTAGCTACAGCACTATCCACAGCAACAGTTAGCTGCTCTCTCTTTCTTGAACAGTTGTTTTCAGGCAAGTCCTGTGGTACTGGACAAAGAAAGGACTTGGAATTTCATTCTCCCTAGGTAGCTGCTCTTACTTTATTAATTCAGTTGAACTATTTCTTTCTGCACTCTGAATAAACAGAAGGATAATACTTTACACAGGAGGAATAAAAAAAAATAGCAGACAGTAAAAATACCTGGATGCCTAGCATTGATGAACCCTACATTTACAATCTAGAATATTACCTTGTCCAGCGTATTCAAAAGAGTCAGCTTCATCAGGAGTGTCAAGGTCATCTACATTAATGTCAATTTCATCAGGAGTATCCAAATTATCATCAGACAATATAGACCCTTCGCTCTGATCCAATGACAGATTGATGTTTGGAGCAGTGAGCTTTATCCTTCTGGGTTGGGAACCATTAAGATCAAGCGAATTAGGAGGTTCTGAATAAAAGGAAAAAAAAAAAATAAAAAGAACTGTATCTACTCCGCATAGAATTAATCTCTCAGGTATTTGAAAACTAACTTTAAACACCCTGGGACAGATCAATGCTAGTAACACCATGACATTTAAGACCATCTAACACAAAACACAAATATTAGCATTAATGTTTTATGAAATGAAACAAAAATCTACAGGAGCAGCAAATGTAGTTCAGAGCTCTTTAACTATGCTAAACCCACATACACTTTTTTGCAGTCATCAAAAAAAAAAAAAAGGTTTTGAACATGCTCTGACCCACAATATTTAAGAGTTTAAAGGGCAAATACAAATCACTTGAGTTATGAATCAAGACATTGCTGAGTCATGGTAAAATTTGTACGAGTTAAAAGCCATTGTAAATATATTTTTTTATGCACTCACTGCTAATTTACAGATACTTACATCTTCAGCTTTAAATATATAATACCTTACTCAATACAGTAACAAATAAAAAAATCTCTGAGTCTCTTAATCAGTCTTAAATATAAGTATTATTCAACAAGACGAGAGCTAGATATATCTTTGCTCCTTGCCTCTGCCTTGTACAGCACAATTCAAATTGTTCTGTCTAACGCAGTTCACTTAGACAGCGGTCAATTACAAAATAAATAATACAGACTATTAAAATTTTCCAAGGACTAAACAAGTGGTAACAATGCCCAAGAGAAAATGTCACACTGTAATTATCATTTCTCAAGTGAAGAAGAAAATTGACTAAATAAAGGAAACTCAATGCTTTTTTCTTTTTAACACTGAACTGATTCTTTACCAGCACAGAAATATCATTCTCACTGCATAATTAAAGGCCACAGGAAAAAGATACAATTAAGAAAATGAGCAAGAGCTTCTCTCACCAGGTCTCATCTCCGTAGAACTGGGGCTCAGTACACCCTCAGCTAAGGGGATGTCCATTCCCATATCCTCTTGTACCAACCTGAGAGGTAAATATAAAGTATGATCTTAAAGAGATGTACAGCTCAAGATCCTATATAGAACTGAAATTTCCTCCAACATAGCCAGTTCAGAAGTCTGATTACAAAACTGATGCTGCAAACAGCAATATTTCTCATTTTACACAAATGAAGTTGGTCTTTGGTTATCAAGCGAACGGCATCATTGCAAGGAGCTGCAGCTACTCTTTGTAAAACAGTATATTCATGACTGTATACACAGTTACTGTATAGCAAAAATGAGTAAGTTTTCCCTTTTTTGATATCATGTGTAGCTTACAGTAATTCTGATCCAAACCAGTAATACTAATGCAGGTAATCTGACACACTGAAAAAGTTCCGAAAGTAAAAAAGTGAGAACCAAATTACATCACAGATTTTCAAAGATTAAATTGTTGCAAATATCTTACCTAGACCCCATTTTTATGTAAGTAAATATTAGAAATTACTTTTAACATACATACATACCTACAGACATACCCACATATATAAGAAAAGGAAAAGGCACTAAGTGGTGAAAATAGCAACCAAGATAGTTAAACGTTTACTTGAAAACAAGTTGACTTGAACCATTTTTATATCTACTTGTTATTTAAATATTTTACTAAGTACTTGCTGGAAGAATGGTTCAAATGCAAATAGGAAACAACATTATACATTTTCAGGACACTTTTAACAGCTACAAAACTATCTTCAAATGCATGACTTCAAGAGAGCTTCATTTACTTTATCGTAATACTTGTAGCATTTATTCTGCACTGCTGTTACAAAATGTGTTTTCTTTTTTTTTTTCCTCACAAAAGCTGAAGAACAGACCCTTCTTAGAGTACTTTGACCAACAGAACTGTGATGAGATCAAAGCTGGTAGTTTTCCCTGCAACAGCAACAGCTAACTGTGTTTTGAATGATTCAAGTGACTCAGCTGAACAGATCTGAATAGGTGTGGCTTATAGCTCTTGCAGTGTCTTCCTGCCTTCACTTTTCCAATGAGGAGGATTACCCTCATTATTTGATTGTGTCCAGACAAGACTCTTTGGTCAATCACTGTATCAAAGTAGGAGTATAGTTTCTGTGATTTCTAGTTATTTCATATAAATTGTATAAAAATGTGCATATTTAGGGCTGCCAAAGGCTTTACTGTGCCTAAAGTTGAAAAAGATCTTTACTTCAAGCCCCATGAGATGAAATTCCCAGTACAGCCCAACAAACTAGTCAACTCAGAATTTTCAATGAAACCATAGAGAGAACACAGTTTAAAACTATGGTCAAACATGTTTGTGCTGCTCAGCTTACAACCAAGCCTTGTATCTTAATAAAAACTGATTTTATTAATTTTGATTTTATCCCCACATACTGTATAGTATGACTTTCATAAACACAGAGATGAACAGCTTAATGATTTTTACAAAACATATCAATTCTTGAATGTGTTTAATTACTGTCAAAGAAGGCTTGAAACACTTTCTCTTAGGATACACAAGAGAATAGTGAAGGAATTTGATCAAAGTATCCTTTTTCATGAATAAAATCAAGGCACAAATTGCCCGTAAATTACCAGTTCCTTTTCCCCCCATACTCAGTACAATTATCTGTATTCAGAAGTACTGAATACCACCACAACTTACACAGATAATGTAAATAAATCATTAGAGTCTTTGGCTTTTTTTTTTTTTTTTGAGGTTTTTATACCATCCATAGTAAAATATGTGTAATGAAGTCTGAGTCATTCATTTGAACTAACTAGAGAAAAACGCTAATTAAAAAGAAGAGCTGTAAGTAACAGCTGGCTGTAGTGGAAAGGGTGTGGGGAGAGTATGAATATTTCTAACCCATTTTAAATTCAGATATGTATTTTATGTGGGGCTATATTAACCTTCTAAATTAAAAAAAAAAAAAAAAAAAAAAAAAAAACCAAAAAACCAACCAAAAAAAAAAAAAACCCCCACCAAAAAAAACCAAAAAAAACCAAAATACCATGAAGAGTTCTTCAATTAAACCAGCTCAGGATTTGTCAGATGATGACTTATGAGTACTGAAGGGTTTATATTTTGGTTGAAAAGAACAGAATTTTTGTACTGTCATTCAAACAATTAATTTGTGGTATTTCTTACAGCTTTATCAGACCAAAGGGCATTTCCTTACCTGCACAACCTTTGGAAATTACTGGAGGAAATTATTTGAAAGGAAATATTCAAAGCTGTGTGAAGAGGAAGGTAGAGCAGGACAGTGAAATTTCAGGCTTTCTGTATTAAAATGAGAGACACTTTTCTCTGTATAAAACAAAAAATTTGTTTAAGAATGAAGTTCATATTTTCCTCTGTATGAAAAGAGTATGACTGAGTTTTATACACTCTATGCCTACAGAAACAGTGACAATTATAATCTGAAAGAAAGCAATTTCCCACAAGTAATTTACAAATCTAGAGCTGCTTAATGTTTTTGCAATGCCCAAAACAGAATTATCCTAAATCATGATGTTTCTAGGACTGCCTCAAGACTGCTTTTCTCCCTGTGGCATCCTCTTTTTATTTTTTTTCCAACACATATGTACTTGTGTTGGTATTGTTGCTTTCTCTAGGGCCCCTTACACTTTCACAACAAAATTTTGAAGTATTTTTCTGCTTTCAATGGGACTACTGCAGCTGAGTTAAACCAGAATTTTTTATCATATTTGTGAAGAACAGTACATTTCTAGGTATTAAAAGCTGCATGTGAAATGCGTGTTTGAATTTTTTATAAAATTCAGCTACAAGCAGTATAACTCAAAAAATATCCCTACTACTGGATTACAGTTAAACAGCATCAGGATTTGTTGGAGAATTTCTAACTTTATTTTGTTGACATAGTGTTTTTAATGTCAAAAATCTGTACTGTTCATATTGGGTTATTAAACTTGGAACATAAGACTCTCTGGTCCTACAAGAGCTGGGTCAAAGCAGGCATTTAAAAAGTCCAGTTGCCAAAAGCTGTTGCTGACACGAGGTTCTCCATTTTATCTTCAATTACATAAAATGCTATTGCCTTTCAGAAGCTTTTTAGCAGAGATTAGGTTTCCTGGTTTTCTTTTTTTTTGTTTGTTTGTTTGTTTTTTTAAAATTGTGTCAGGTTCTTATGTACTGTCAAAACCAGGCAATAGGCTTTTTGGAGAAGAGAAAGTCTGCCTTGGGAGCTAGTCTTATTTTTCCAAATCCTCTGTGCTTTACCCAAAGACATTAAAGATTCCTTGCCAGACACACACACCTTCAGCTCAGGGAAAGTTCAATATTTCACTCAAAAATTAATGGGCAATATAGGCACATTTAAAATTGTATTTAAATGTCTGTGATACTGTGCCTCAACATATGGCTTCAGAACTGCTGTCACTAAGAGAATGAGTAGGATATGGATGAAGATTTTTTTCTATAGACGCTGCTTCACATTTTCTGACGGATTTTGAGAGCATGTTATGGTGAGCAGCTCAGCACCTTGCAGAGCAGAAGCTCTCAACAGACCTCAGCAGGAACCCTAGCAATGGAAGTCAGACTCCAGAAACTTTAAAATAGGCAACTACCTCCTCTTCCTTTCCCACAGACTACTTCACATGCTTCCAAAATTCTGGCTTATAAAATTCTTTGCCTTGCCATAAGGGTGCAGCTTATAACATGGATGATGTGGACAAAAATATTAAGGACAGATATTTTTTTAATCCCCTTTTAATCAATGCTTCTACTGAAGAAATAAATTAAGTTACTTTAGAAAGCCCATTCTAATCAGGTATGATTTACTGGATTGATAAAAAACGGATCTTGGAACAGAGGTCAAAGTCAATTAAGGTTTTTTGTGTCATAAATGACTTCTTTTATGTTGTACACAGACCAGTCATTTAAGGATCAGCTGCACTGGGAATCAAGTTACTGATTATTTGCTCTGATATTCAGGTCTATGATCTCTCTCAGAAGCAGCTGAACCCCCCTCATTTCTCAAAGGTGGAACAGAGACAGATACCAAATTCATTTGAAAGGAGGAGAGGCAGGAGGCTGAAATACTTTCCTTGCTCTTTCTTTGGTTCAGACATTCTTACAACTCAGTAAGTTAATAATCTTTAAATAATTCTTAATGCCCTCTCAAATCAGTATTTCTCAAAATTAAAGTTTTCCTTCCTGACTTTTCTAGGTACAGCAGCATTCTGCTATTTTGGAAAGAGCAGTTTTGAATATTCACAGCAATATGTCATAATCCCTATGGGCTGTGTTGCCTCACCCTTGTGTCATCTGTGATCTATCACCAGTTTCCCAAGTTGCTCTGCAGCTATCATTATCAAGAAGTTAATTTCTTTAGTCTAAAACAAGATATCCTTCCAATGCACTGCTCTGAATAAATACATACAATGTGCAAAAGAGATCAACATTAATCCAGTTGTGACTGTCACCACAATTTATTCACCAGCTGGACTTCAAAATGTATACATTTTCTCATTTTCTTTACTCATCATTGCAGATGTTTAATCTGAAGTGGATCCCACAACTGCCAGGCACTTTTCCTAGATAAGAAAATCATGTTTCCTCCTGTTCCCTTTACACAGAGAAATAATTTTTTTCTTAAATTTTCACACGATGTCAGAAGTTTTTTTATAAAGTTTCAAAACATGATGAGTCAAAGAAATGACATGGATGAAATCACCTCTGTGCATATTAATATATGCTTGGTTTGAATACTAAATGTGAAGAGGGGATATGAAGTGCAGTGGAAAGTGGTCAGTCAGAGGCTAGACATTCAGGCTTTTTTCATCTTCTCAAATTCCACACCTTATGCAGGTATACCCTGGTTTTGGATGAAGTAAGCATCCTGCTGATAGCCCACTTTCTCACTAATTTTGCAGAAAAATTGAGCTGCATTGAAGAATAATGCAGGAAGTGAAATTTTAAGTACAAAAACAAGTAGGGGAACTTAAACTCATTGAGTCACTTTTGCAGCACACAGTCAGAACAAAGTTCTTCTCCTTTGA